TCATTTTATCGATCCACTTTATATTTGTTAAGACAATAATTGCAAAACATTGCAAACGCCAAATATATTTATCAAATGCAATATTTTAATAGAGAAACGATCAAAATAGTAATATGAGACTAATATTATTAAAAAATTTCTATATAATAAATAGAAGTAATGATTCTTATATTAAAAATGTTATATAGTATATTTATCGCTTCATTCAATGTTTCGTTTAAATAAATAACGTACTAATTACTGTAAATTTTAGATAAGACCGTTTTTATAATACTAAAAACATTTTTCTACAGAGATATTTAATTGTCATATCATGCAATAAAAAATAGTTTAAATAATTTTTGAATTAAAGGATATTTTTAGGATATATTTGAAAATTCTAAAATTATTTAAAAAATTGCTTGTTTGTATATCTGGCTGATTAACGCAATAAATATTTTATAATAAATTTTTTAAATATTTACTCTTGATGTATGTACATAATATAAAAAATGTTGACAAAATTTAGAAATAATATTTCTACATTGTAATAATATAAAATTCATTTTTATATACAAAAAATTAATCAACATAATCAACAAGAAAAAAATAAACTTGCATTCTCTTGTTACATTATAATCTTTTTATTAATTTATGTAAAATTTTGTATGCGTTTAAAATAAATTCCTTTTTCCTCTATTCTTCTAGAAAAAAAAATATAAATGTTTTATAACTACAGATTTATAAGTAGCTCGTAATATGTTGCTTAAAAAAAACACTTTGTTAATATTAATATTTAGTTTTATATGTTAACTTAAAAAAAATAAACTTTAATCATTAAAATTTAATGTTAAGAAGTTGTAAAATCTCAATAAAATCATTTATTCTTTAACATTTTATACAATAATATAAATAATGTCAGAAATTTTATTGAAATTGACACATTTATTTAGACGACATTAATTTATCCTTCATTCCTTGAGATTCGTAACAAAATTAGACTTTTTAAATTTTTTAAATGATAGAAAAAGAAAAGTAGTTCAAAATACGTTTAATAAATTTTGCAAAATTCATTTTCTGATCCAAGAATTTTGTATTCGTTTTCAACACGCCCACTAGCGAGCCAATATTCATTTCAAACCGCCATTTGTGTAGAAGTCCATTTTAATATGTTTACTTGCCGTTAAGTGGCGTTGTTGTCACTATCGTAAAAGACCTTGAAAACGTCCTTGAGTGTAGTATTACTCCATATTACTCCAAACTACACGCTCCATTCATGAACTCTATAACCTGTAAATCTTTGTTTTGACAGTTCGCAAATGATTACTTCCGTGTTACAAACGAGCTTGTATGATTCCGATCGAATTATGAATAACATTTTTCGCCTAAAAAGCGTGTAACGTACAATAAAGTAATGTTTATTTGTTGCGCTTTGTAATATAACCTGTGAAAATGTCCGCAATTATAGATGACAAAGTTGTCGCAGGTGCAAAGAGTTCAAATACTGTCAAGAAAGATCCAATTGTAGCGTTAACGGTACGTAAAATACATTAAATCTTTCCTATACATCGTTTTTTCTTTCCTTTTTCTTTAATTTTTATCGATGTGTCACATTCAAGTATTATTGTTTTTACCTGCTGACTGCTATCAATTCCAGGAAAGAGTAAGAGCTTTGTATCTCTTTCGAGATCGATATTTTGAGACGCATTCTATTGATGAAGCGATTAAAAAAAATATTGACGTGGAGAAGGAAATGAAAGATACGCTGAGCAAGTTCGATGAATGTAAAGGATATGAGATTGATGGTTCACGTGCAAAGTATTATTATTTAAAGGGAAGAGCTCTAAACGTAGTGGACCGTTTCATTCCTCAGGCAGAAGAACTTTTGAGTAAAGCAGTGAAATTAGAACCTAAATTAATAGAAGCTTGGAATGAGTTGGGAGAATGTTATTGGAAGAATGATGATATAAAACAAGCAAAGAATTGTTTTGTTGGCGCTCTGCAACATGTATATTTCTTTCTTACTTTATCTAACATAGCTTTCATTAGTTGAAAGAAAAAAAATTTTTAACAATAAATTATTATGTTACATATATATATAGCATATTTTATTTCTTTTTTAGGACAGGAATAAAGCATCTTTAAGAAATCTGTCGATGGTGCTTAGACAGGAGCAAACATCATCTTTTGAAGAGCGAATAAAAAATATTCAGCAAGGAGTAGAACATGCTAAGGAGGCTGTAAGCCTTGACACAACTGATGGAATCTCCTGGGCCATATTAGGGAATGCCTACCTGTCTTCCTTCTTCACTGTAGCACAAAGTCCGAGTACGTTACGTTCATGCATGTCGGCATATATGCAAGCGGTAAGACTATGATGTGTTTGTTATATAAACATGTTATTACAAATGTACAATTTTGTCTTTATATATTAAAATCTTATTTTTTTTAGGAAAAAGATATTATTGCAAGAAGTAATCCTGATTTGTTTTATAATAAAGCGGTAGTAAGTATGAATATGCTTCTGTAATGTTTATTTTAATATTTCTTTTCTGCTTGAAACTCCTTTTAATTTGCAAATTCATTTTAGGCTCTAAAATATCAAGAAGAATATAACTTAGCATTACAATCATTTGAAAATGCAATGGCACTCGATCCATTGTGGGAAACACCGCGCAACAAACGTGATGAATTATTACAATATCTTAAAGATATACAAAATTCAATTAATAATAATGGTTATGTAAAACCAAAACGATTATATCAATTAATACGGGTATTTATATCATAGAAATTAATAATAATAGATAGTTAACAGCTATTAATACATGTTATATATTAATACATGTTATTAATACATACGATAGTATAACATGTGATTTTGGCACAATATACATATTTATAGGTTTATGATTAAATGTAGGCATTGGATGTTAAACACTTAGGACCATACAAAGATGGAGCATATACATACGGGGCAAAGTCTATAAAGTTAGATTTAATTCCGTTACAAGAATTAACTCTTGGATTGAACGTGGAAAAAGTCGTATTTGGAAAAGTAGTTTGTTGGATTCAGGATTCAGATTGCGTTCCTTTGTAAGTTTATCTATTTTCTATATAACGCAAATTTTTCTGCTGGATATTAACTTGTTAAAGCTGTATAATTATTTTTTTTCAGTGCTTTTTGTCTCGTGGACGAACAGAAAACATGTGTTGTTGTTACTGTATATAATCTAGCTAAAGGCCGTGGAGTTACAGTCGGGGATTCTGTTGGTATACCAGAACCTTTCGTTATACATCAAAAATTTTCCTATATGAATAATGTAAGTGTTGTGTACAGTATGTACATATTTTAAATGAATCGAATCTTGTCAAACTTATAATAATACATTTCTCCTTCATTCTTTTTTAGGATTTTGATTACAAATCTATACGCGTTGAAACACCGATTGTACTTGTAGTTAATGGAAGAAAATTAGGTCGAGAGCAACAAGCTAGCGCAAATTTACATACTTTTAAAAAGACAGATTAGATTTAATGATGAGTGATATGTCGAGCATCGAATCACGTCGAGCACGTTCTCAGTTATCGTCAGTTATAAATAATTTTCGGTCTTACTCTTATTTTTCAATAATAACATATACTATTTTAATATAATGAAACTCATCAATATATATTTAAGACTTTGTGCGAGAAATTTAAAACAATATATATTTCGAACCGTTAAATGCACTAATACGTGTTGGCAATAATCAAAAAGAATAAGTTAAATATATGCTACGTTATATATATTTTATATTTTATAACAATGAATGAGAAATCATTTACGTGCACATCTAAACTGCCGCATTTATAAAACTTATAAGAAAAAAGATATTGATACATATTTTTTTTCATTGTGATAATAATTGTATGCAAGTACAGTTCGCAAAAGCAGTAAATTAATATCTGCCAATTATTAATTTATAGAGTTATAAGACTTCGCTTATATCTTTTATTTTAATTCACATGACTAAAGTAGAAATTAATATTTTATATATATGTTTTGAATAGTGAACGTATTTTAGTCTTTATTATTTGATATTTAACATATTTTCGTCTCTATTATCTGATATTTAAATGTCTTAGAATCCGCTTGTTGATCTCTCGAACATTTTTGCACATTTACTTCAAAACAAAAAACGAAGAAATTACGAAACGTTAGAAATTTTTAATCAAAGAAAGGTATAATTTGTTGCTAAAAAATCAAACGAAATATCTGTTATTTACGTCTGAATTGGTGAATTCTGTGGACTGTTATTATTTTACTTATTGTGAGAATTCGATCTTCTATAATAAATTTTGATCATTAAGTCCCACTACGTCTAGATTAACTAAAACATAAACATTCGAAGAACTGCCTTTATATTTTCCGAGAAGCGACAAAATAATCAGTCCTCGGAAAATATAAAGAACTTGGTTTATTTATTTTATAAAATTATATTATTTGATTAATAATTTGTTTAATAATTTGTCATATGATGCAATTAAATTATTAAAATAACTAGTATAAGGTATAGAATGCAAAAATAATTTTGATAGAAATTTTATAGTTACATAATTTTTATCGACATTAATTAATATTAGATTAATTAGATAATCCAATTTGCATAGTGTCATAAAATAGTTATAGTATTGATATTTTCTTTTATATCACGATATACTGTTCGTTCGAAGCCTGTACATCAAAATATTAAAACAGAACAAAGGTTGTGAGTATGTGTGTTTTGCGTATACACAAGAATATTACGATAATTTCAAAAGAAAAAGGGAAAAGAAGAAAACGAGAAAAAAGTTTTACGTATCAAATCAATTGTTTTGCAATGCCATTAGATTGATTTGTTGTATAATATAAAATTTCCTATAATATTGATCCACAATATAAATTCATCTGCGAATATACATGATCACCTTTTAACAACTTATACGGAAAAATATGTAAGAGAAAAAATTTTCTCTAGTTTTACAAAAAATAACAGGGCTTATTATAAGATAATTTATTATAAAATACCTACATGGTAAATTCGCATTTCAAGCGAAGGATTGATCCATTGATCTGCATGTGTTGTACAGTGCACATCGGGTCAAACAAATAAAACGCACAAATCATTTTTTTATATATGTATAAATATATAAAATACATGCTACTATCTCTTTTGTACGTCAATGAATCAATTTCGAGTAAAGAACTTACGGTATATTGTGACACCACGTTCTTCAGTCAGATCGTACGAATAATGTTTGTGATATATTAAAAATATTTTGTATAAAGATGTTTTCTAATGATTACAATAATAAATACTTATTTATAACAATAACAGTATTTATGCATTATTGTATATATTCTGTGGCAGAAGGATATATCCGTCCGAGGAACCTTTATAGTTAGCGTTGACGACTCACGACGGGCGCTGAATCGTCACAATCATTTCTAGGGACACCGTGGATCCTCACACCACGTCGAAATTATCAGTGTCACTTACATTCTCACACTGATATACATATTGCCGTTCGACGATGTCAAGCGCGAGCGATATCCTAAATGCTTTCAGTCCGTCTACAATTGCATTACGTCATCACATATTCACCTCCCAGAGCTTGAAATAGTTGTCGATCACTTCCAGAAACCACTGACGTCTTTTTGAATCCTTAAAAGCTGGCGCCAATGTCCGCAATTGTAATTGCAGTAACGCTTCGTCGCCCAACAGGCTGTCTAGTTGCTTAAGCAACGCCGTATCGCCGTGCAACTTTAGTAAACTGGCGTAAGTGAAGATATAATATTGCACTCGAAGACGTTGCACGGCCCATGCTTCCACGCTACGATTGCCGCTTGCCGATTGTATGGAACCCGTATGCTCCGCGTACCATGGTGAAAAATAATTGCTCAGCTCGAGAGACGACAGCTCCGCGACTCCCCGTGTCTTCAGCCGTTCTTTTATTCGCGAATATACTTGAGGAGTGTATACGAATACCTGAAAAAAAAAAAAAAAATTCCTTTCATCATACATTTATCAAATGACATTCAAATTTAGGATCTGCAAATTTAGAACGACGACATGCTTGTTAAGATCGTCGTGCTCAATTAACAAAGAGCAGAGATTGGGACCTCTTGATTACGACATCGTATATTTCAGACAGAGAGTTACGTGATTTCACTTTTACTGACATTGGCGAGGTGATGTAAACTATTAGTAAGAACTAGACTCGATATAATAGGACGTGTTTCTATGCAGTTTACATATGTAAACTGAATTAAAAACGCATTTGTGTTAGTCGGGAGAATGTACGATAAATGAGTTTTGTTTCACTTTTATCTAACCGAGATTACAGCATTATTTTCATGGTAAGCCGATTGCAACAGTGATCAACGAACCGCATAATCAAGAAGGATGCGCCAATGCAAAGAAATGAATTTCACGCCTATTTTTATTATCGTTACGACATTGAAGCGTTGATCGCAATTTCACGTAAGTGCGTACGTATAACGTACACATTTTCCACCTTTTCCTTAAAAAAAAAAAATATTTTCCTAGTCGTGAATATTCATTATTCCATTTTGTTAGAATGTGTTTCATAAATTATTGCATGCATCATTTAATGAGTTATTGCAAAATTATATATAGCCGGTATTCAGAGTTTTTTTATCCGTTCTTATTTTAGATTATCTTAAGTAGTGTCTCATTAATGAGACTCTGTCACCGATATCATGGTCGATCTTATATTTAAAATACATAGTGTTTGAGTTATCATAAGTAGTAGAGTCATATGAATATCTTAAAACATTTAAGATAATCTTAAAGTAAGAACGAACTATAAATACAGTCCGTGATCAGCTTATGACATCTTAAAATTACTTAAAACAATCCTAAGTATAAGAACCGATAATAAGACTATAAATACCGACCTGTATCTCGCAATAATTCTTATTTTATTAAAAATGTATGCGTGTGATTAGTCATTATTATTTATCAAAATATAAACGGTTCACTTTTACAAGCTGACTGTTTTAAAATTAGGTATTCCGATCGCTTACTTGATAAAGCGAATTTCCCGTAATATAGGAAGCGATGTAGTGTGAACCGAAGTTCCTGATGAATCGTACAACACTCGCAGTGTCGCCGACCGTGACGTTCTCGGTTTGCCGCAACACGGAATCATCAAGGACGAGAGTCTCAGCGGTGCCGGCGAGTCGTTGATTATCACGGTATCTAGCGACACGTACGAGGACGTAACAATGGTCGCCCGTGATGAAGGACGAGTTTATGCCGAGGTGCCTGGCTATGGCCGTCTTCGACCAACTACCAGTGAAGGCACGCCACGGCCTCTCCAGCTTCTCGAAAGTGAAGTCACGGAAATAGGCTTGCAGAAGCTGTCTGTAAATATAAATTGAATATATAGAGAAATCGCGATTATTGCGATTTATCATCGCCGAAAACAACTTTTTCTAAGCTTCCGCTTAAAAATAACAAATTGCACTGCACTATTAAATATCAAAAGAGCAATGACAATACAATCTCTTGAATAAAATATTTTTAACTTCCATATGTGTCAAAATATAAATCAATCCATTTCCGTCATAAATTTTCAAATAAACAACTTTCATATTAACGTATATACTTCGTAAATAATAAACTGAGTAAAAGATTTAGTACATTTTTCTTGAGTTAAATTGTTTAACTCCATTTTAAATTAACAATATATTGATATAGGAGCAGTGGCGATCTACAGAAATAAAAAATAATTCAAATTGGATATAATTTGACATTATGAATTTATCAGTGAGTTTTTATTTTTTTACATCAAATTTTACATCAAATATTCGCATTTAGTTCATCTCGATACCATGAAAAGTTTGAAATTATAATAATTTTGACGATGATGATTTTGAGAGGTGTATCCAAATAAGCCACATGAATTCTATTGATTTTATCTGTCATTTTACGGAGACCTTTTATCTATCTTATTGTGTAATCACATACCTGATATTGTCGCAAAATTCCATATGAAAATCGCCGTCGAAGACACTAGTAGTTTTGCCTGCTTGGTGTTGCTTGGGCGGCAACGGCGTGGAATTCTTGAAGACGTCGAGGGTGGGTTCACGGAATATCCAGGTCTCCGTATCGTTACGCGGCACTACTCGCATACTGATGCTCAGGTAACCGTAACGGCTGAAGACGTTCACGGCGCCGCCGAGTCGCGGACGCTGCGACCTGGTGATGTGGACGCCGATCAGTAACGCGAGCATCGATGCCAGGAAGAAGAGCCGCGTGCGTGACCACATCTCTGGGCGGCTACCTGGGTCAGTGATATCTGAAACATAGATCAAATCGGCAAAATGAAATTTATCAAGTTACAAGCAAATAACAAATTGACTATGAAGTTCATTTATTCTTGAAAATATTTAAAACCTGGCAGTCTTAACGTTCTTAATGTTCCAAATCTAAAAACTGAATCAATTCTATATGAAAAGAAGAATTTTGTTGAAGTACCTTAAAATTTAGCCAGAACAAATCTGAAAATAATTGTATTAGACTATCAAAATAATCGTGTAAAACGCTCGCAATGATAGCAATATTGCAAAAAAAATTTTTAAGCATTCTAGCAATCAGTTTAAAACGTAGCATACGTCATATGTATTATAATTATTTTGATGATTCAAACAAAATGATTTCCATATACTGAGTTCACTCTGTACAAACGTATCTCCATAAATTAAAACTGCTTCCTTGTAACGATATCCACCGTTAATTCACCGCGTCGTGGATGCCAGAGAAACGCTTCCAGTGTCCCATTCAATTTTGCACCATGAAGCGGTATTCGCATCTTATGCAAACGTTGAGCTACTAAGAAGCCTATCTACCATGAAACAACATTCACATCTTGCGAACGTTGGGATACTGAAAAGCCTATCTCGATTCGAGGAAGCTGCACTACCGGTCTCCAACCGCACGTGCACGTTTGTCTGACTGCAAAATGCACGAAGTCGTCGTTAGTACCGTCGTTGTATATACTGTATCTCGTTGTATCTGTGGGTCTAGGTGTGCTCCATCGAGGTGTTTGCACGAGTGAAGCCAGCGGCCTTCATCCCCACCTAACTCGGACGAGCACCTTGGTGTTCTGAACCTTCTCTTTCTCTCTCTCTCTCTCTCTTTCTCTCTTCCTTCGTGCATTTTGATTCGATAATTCACTCCTTGTCGATCAGGAAGACGGCGAATGCACATCTTCCTCCAGACAGCCGACGGCGAGTGGGCGACCAGCCGTCCCGCATCCGTTTCGCTTCGTCGCGTCTCGATATGAAGGCGGACACCTTGCACGGACATCATAATAACGCAGACCATTGTCATGACCATCCAAGCTGCTCTGACGATCGTTAACTCGAATTATGCTTTTGGAACGAGCAGGGCGAAGTGAGAGGTCAAGAGGGCAGCTGTATGACGGCATACGCTTCCCGCAGATAATGTTTATTATAACTACGATACAAAAGAGTAGCTTATTTTGAAAGCCACGATTGAAACTTGAACGAGCAATATTGCTTATTCTACAATTTGAATTTGAATGGAGAGCGTAGTTACAAATGTTTCATGAATGCAACTTCTCCGGTTACTCCTCGAGAAATGCAAAAACGGAGCTGGCGGTAATAATTAGCAACAGCGTTGCGAAGCACTTTGAATTTTGCAAGATCGCACCGTCAAATCTCAGTCTTCTTAAATGCAATTTGGTGAAACTTTGATTCTACGTGAAAAACAAAGCAGAGAAAGGGAATGATCATACATTTTCAGGGAATAATCTTTTTTCTTCGATATTATAAAACACTGGCACATCCTTTCCCAGTATTATATAAATAAATAAAAACAAGGAAATTTTAGAAGATATCATCAATTATATCACTTTTTCGAAAAACAGCCATAAGCCACGTGAACAATTTATAAAATACTATAGTAACACTTCGAAATACGGCGAATCCGCAACAATTATTATAGTTTTTCGAGAAGACAGGGCAATATATTACAATTATAAGAGAAGCTAGTTTACACCAGTTAAAAGGGTAAAAGTCCGTTAGAATGGCAAAGCTGATTTTCTCCTGTGTGTGCCTCTTATAAGAGATGATTAATCCACGTCTCTTAATATTTTCACTCAATTAAGCGTATCCGCCCGTATGTAACGTATCAGACGCACCGATGTGTACGCATGTTCTCTGTCACTAGAATCAGCGAACGTCCGAAGTGCAAGTCCGAGTGAAAGTAAAGTTGAGCTGCAACTTCTCCCTCGTATATGGAGCCGCAAAAAAAAAGGAGCTTAAAATTATGACAGACGCATGATGTGGTAGGAGTCATTAAAAACGATGTTAAAAGTGAAGTATATACATAAAATACGTATACGTGATGCAGCATCGATGTTCAACGGAATGGAAGAAGAGAATGACGCGGTTCAATAGGAGCGTAACTCGCTTTGGAAATTCCATTAAGGGCGGACAGAATTCGAGACGGAACTCTTGTTTTAGTCACAAGGGTACGCCGACGAGCGAGGTAGTAATTAAGTTTTCTGTCGTCCAATCGAAGAGATGAAATTACTTGGCCCTCGCAAAGGGGAACGGATCCGATGGATTAGGTTTGGCGAGAACAACGGAGTCAATTTGACCGTCCTTTCTATTTATCAAACAATCATTTAAGATTACATTTGAGTAGATTTCCTTTTCAAACGGCAAAGGGTAAAACTTGCGATATACATTAATTTTTCTCTATGAATAATATATATGACTAATTTACACGCGATGAGAATTATTCAACCTTTCTGACAACGGGTTTCATTTATAGATACCAATCTGAATAATGCATTCGTAACGGACCGTGAAATGCGGTACAGTAGATATAATAGATGATCGTGGTAGAAATTAATTTAACGTTTAATGAAGCTTCGTGGGAGCGGATAATAATTAAATCGACCATCGTTAATAATTAACGGAGACCGGAAAGTTAAATGACGTTTAGCGTGCGCTACGCGAGCACGTGCAATCGAACGCGCATTGCATCGATGTTTAACTGACATAACGAGTGCGCGATAGCCCGATTGAACTCCGCCGCGATTTTTATCTCTCAAACGACGCATATACGCCCCAATTCGTCTTTCTCGTTGTTACCAGGAACTGAACCGGCTGCATCGTTTTGCACAATGCAGTCGCTCTCGATTCGCAATTGAAATTAATCCCCCCCACGGCCAAAGCGGATCCAAAGCATTTCCGTCGCGTTCACTTTATAGTTTGCCAGACTACTCAATCGCGGACTCTGGGGTAAACTTTGACATTCCTATACGCTCCCGACTTCTTTGCCCCAGTGGCCTTTCCAGTCTATGAGAATACCACGAAGCGATTAGCGCCAAGTTATAATTATGCAATCGCTCGGTCGATTTTTATTTTCGCGCACAGAAGAATAGCTTCGCGGATACAGTGAGATTAATTGCTTCGTTAATTTCGTAAGACGCTCCGTACGTATTTTTTTCTTTATTTAAAAATATTTCTTGATTTTGATGTATTAATACCGTGCGCCAATAAATTGTTTTGTTACACGTTGACGGGTAGAAGCTAAATACGTTACGTTCTCACTCAAAATAACTAAGAGTAAGTCTCGGTTTGTGTTAAGGTCTAATAGTGCTCGATATATCAGCCGTCAGCCACGTTGTTTTTTGTAACTGCACTCTATATGACTAAACCTCACTGGGTCAACACAATGAAGGTGAGTCATATGCATGCGAGTTATTTAGTGCATATGTTTTGTTCCGTTATTGGAGTAACGCGATACCAATGTGGTGAATGTGAAATTTATTATTGCTATATCTGCGTGCTGTTTACGCACCGACAGACGCTTCGTCTTGATGTTAAACGGTATCACGTCGTTATGGCTCAACGGTACATACGAATCTCCTGTAATTCATGAGTAATAGGAAGTCGTTTATCGACTTATCTCGAAAAAAAAGATCACTCCATATACCCAGATTCGAAATTGCCAGCAGCGAAAGGAACCATACATATTCATGAGGTTACAAGATTTCTTACTATCACTCTGTCTGTCGATGATTGCATCAAAGATATTAGTTTTTCAAAACTGATCAATCCCGAACTGAATAATAGCAACTATGCGCGTTTTCTTTTTCATATAATGAGACATTTTATAAAGGTACTTTATTTGTGAATGCAATATACTTGTAAATAATTATTTCGATGCAACATATACACGAATGTAATCTTTATTCTATACTCTGTAAATCTGAATTATCAGTGGATAATCATTGATTCAGTATCAAATATGCCACTGTTAATTAATGAATGTAATATCCTTAACTTATAGCGAACTTTGCTTCAGTGTATAAGTATAGCGCATTCAATGTATATAGCATTCAATGTATATTGTAAGATTGGAATTATAATTTGCTAGAACGTGCAAATATCGATATTTTAACTATATAATGCTCAAATTTTTTTTCTATCATAGTTGAATTTCATTGATTATCCAGTACTAAGTGTACCAATATGATATGCTGAATTCAATACCAAATTATGTATATACCAAGTATCTTCAATAAATTATCCACTGATTCAGATTTTTGGAGAGTAGATTTATTAAATTTCCGTGCAATACTTCTTTTTTGTAGGTAATCAATATATCTTATTAAAGACATCTGTAGTACTACATGGAAAGAATAGTTTTGCTAAAGTATTTAAAAATTAAATTGAATATCTAAAAAGAATTTTTTTTAAACTATCACAATAATTAAAACACTCATGGTTGCTGGAATGTAAAAATTTTTTACAACATTGCTCATTGTGTTTTGTGTCCTTCATAATTATTTTGATAGTCCAACAAATTATTTTAAGATCTGTCTCTAGCTAAATTTTTAGATATTTCAGCAAAATCATCTTTTTTATGTATGTTGAGAAACCACATATGTGCTATTTTTATATCTATAACGCATACGAATAAAGAAAAGGTCATGGCGATAGCGAGACATTGAGAAAAGCGAAGTCACATTTCAAATTGGTAAAATGGAAGGAACGAGTTTCGCTTTCGCCGTTGCTTTCGAGGATGCGAGAGTGGTTTTCCAACTCGCGTGATTAGGATTTTATGAACATTCCTACCGACAACATGATGTTGATGTCGCATTCTTACTCACTTTCAATTTAAGATTATTTTATTTATCTAATAAATTAAAGATTTCAAAACTGTAGATTTCAAAACAATAATAAAAAGTAGTTCACGTCGTAATATTACTTTTTTTTTATATGTGACGATTGTTTATTCTATATTTAATCAAAATGA